GCTGCCGATTTCCGCCGATCCGATGCATGTCGATCGCCGATCAGACTCATCGATTCGGTTCTGGGGTGGCCTGCCCCCCCAGCGCCAGCCTGCGCGCCTCGAAGAAGACGACAGCTGCATGGACATGACCTTCCCGAGGCCCGCGCGGTCTTGTCGGATCTGCGCTGGAGCACCCCGGCGGCGTCCCCAGACCCCTTCGAGTTATGAAAAAATCACGACGGGAGGTTTTTCACTATTTTTGGCCTTTGGGGGCCCTGACCGGCCCTCGGGACCGTCAAAAAACGACTCAGGACGAAAAACCGGTCCCGGGGAATGGGTCGAGACCTCGGGGGGTCGACGTCATGAAAAAATCATGACGTCGGGGGTCTGGGTCTCTGGCGCCGCCCCTGTCGCGCTCCGCGCGCCAGGGAGGGGGGTTCAGCGCAGATCCGAGAAGTCCGCGCGGACCTCCAGAAGTCTGTGTTTATGCAGCCTTCTGTACCTCCAGCGCCCGGACTTCCGGTCAGGAAAACTTTGGCTCGCCGTGCCTTGGCGTCAGTTCTGGCCCAGCACGCGTCGGCAGAATACGCTAACCACGTCCCAGCTCCCAGGCGCAAGGTTCCGAGCCTCTCCCGGCCTGCCGCCCCGCGGAGCGGAGCGGCACGGTGTCCGCTCGCGGGGCTGCGCGTGTCGACCCGCCGCCGCGACGCGCTGAGCGAGCCTTCCTGAACGTAGTAGCCCCCCCCCCTTCTGCCTGCGGCACCCTGAAGCTCACCACCCACCAAACCACCCCAACCCAACCCGAAGGCCCAGATTTACCCTCGATTTCTAGTGGGGGGGTCGGGAAACATAGAACAAACACGCGCGGAACCCTTGCCCCCCCAAAACCCGAAATTCGGGTCTTCGGGTCGGGGTGGGGGTGGTCTGGTAGGTAGTCAGAAGCCGTGCACGGGGGGCCACTCTTGCCCAGGGTCGCCCCTGCGTGCAGCCGAGGGCTGGCCACCTGCTGGATCGCGCTGCGCGCGCGGGCGCGCGCCTTCTCGGGCCAGGGCACACCTGCCGCTCGCGCGCCGCTCGCCCGTCGAGCCGCGGGGGCTGCCGCGAGTGGCACGGGCGCCCTGCCGCCGCTGCCCGACAGGGTGTTCCTGGTGACTGGCTCGACCGACGGCATCGGCAGGTTCACGGCAGAGCAGCTGGCAGACGAAGGGTGCACGGTGCTGGTTCACGGCCGTTCGCAGGAGAAGGTCGACGCCACCGTGCGGGAGCTGCGACTGCGCTCGCCTCGCGCGACCGTCGAGGGTTTCAGGGCGGACTTGAGCTCGATGGCGGAGGTGAGGTCCCTTGCGGAGCAGGTGAAGGGGAGGTACACTGTGCTGCACGGCCTGCTGAACAACGCGGGCACCTTCGACGGCGACTACACCGGCAAGCGCCAGGAGACCGCCGAGGGGAACGAGTACTCCCTCGCCGTGAATGTGATGGCCCCCTTCCTGCTGGTGTCGCTGCTCCTTGACAGCGTGAGGGCTTCCGGTGCTGGCCGCGTCCTCATCACGTCCTCCGTGTCCGCGGGCTCTGCAGATGCCCTGGGCGACTTGCAGCTGCGGTCTGGCTGGTCTGGCCACCGTGCCTACTCGCTGAGCAAGCTCTGCGACGCGATGGTCGCTTTCGAGCTGCACGAGCGCTACGGCGACCCGCCCCGCCTCTGTTTCCACAGCATGGATCCTGGCACCGTGGACACGAAGATGCTCCGCGCGGGCTGGTGGTCCGGGGGGGCCTCTGTTCGCACCGCGACCAGGTCGTTCCGTATGCTAACCGAGGATGCTTACCAGGTGGAGAGCGGGCAGTGCGTCAGCCGCTCCGAGGTCCGCGACGCGGTGGCGCGCGCGCGGCTGTGGGAGGAGTTGGTCGCGCTGACGGGCGCCGAGTGGCCACAGGCTGCGTGATGCCGGTTGGTGCCGTTTCTCGGCTTGGCGCGCCGGGTCGGTCTCTGGTGAACCCTTTCCTGCCGGCATTGGCGCTGGGGTGCTCGAGCGCGGCTGCCCGGTGGCCACAGATTTGTTGTTTCCTGCAAAATCTGTTGGCGCGGGGCTTTCCGCAGATTTTGTCAGGCACGTTGCAGGCACAAGGCGTTGCAGGCACGCCCTCAAGAGGGCCCCCGAGAGGGCCTCAAGAGGCCAAAAACATTGATTTCCGTCGGGTTTTTGCAGGTTGTTCGGGTCCCCCCCTTTTCCGTCCCAGACGGGCCCCAGACGGCTCAAGAGGCCCCAAAGATCGCCCCAAGACGGCCCCAGAGGCGCCCCAAAGGGGCCCAAAACGGTCCAAGAGGGCCCCCAGACGGGCCCCAGACGGCCCAAGAGGCCCCAAAGATCATCCCAAGACGGCCCCAGAGGCGCCCCAAAGGGGCCAAAAACGGGCCAAGAGGGCCCCCAGACGGGCCCAAGAGGGGCCGCAGGGAAGAGAGCCCAAGTGGGCCCCGATAGGCTCCCAAGCGGGCCCGAAGAAGAGGAGGGGGAGGAGGAGGAGGAGGAGGAAGAGGAGGAGGAGGAGGAGGAGGAGGTGGAGGAGGAGGGAAAGGAGAGATAAGGAAGGAGGAGGAGGAGGAGGAAGAGGAGGAAGAGGAGGAGGAGGAGGAGGAAGGCAGGTAGGAGGGGCAGCGGGGAGCAAGAGGAGAAGGAGAAGGAAAAAGGAGTGGAGGACAAGGACGAGGACAGGGGGCTAGGAGGAGGAGGAGTCCAGGAGGAGGAGGAGGAGTGAGGAGGAGGAGGAGGAGGAGGAGGAAAAAGAGGAGGAGGAGGAGGAGGAGAAAGAGAGGAGGAGGAAGAGGGAGGAGGATAGGAGGAGGAGAAGAAGAGGAGGAGGAGGCGGAGGAGGAGGAAAGGGGAGGAGAAGGGGGAGGAGAGAGGGAGGAAGGGAGGAGCGAGGGAGGATGGAGGAGGGAGGGAGGAGGAGTAGGAGACGTAAGAAGCTCTTCACACCCAGGCTCCCAAGCGCGAAGGTGACGTAAAAAACTCGTCACACCAAGGCTCCCAAGAGCGTGCGTCAACGTAAACATCTCTGAACACCAGGGCTCCCAACAGAGAATGGTGACGTAACAAGCTCCTCCCACCAAGGCTCCCAAGAGCGAACGGTGACGTGACAAACTCGTGCACACCAAGGCTCCCAAGAGCGAACGGTGACGTAAACAACTCTCAATACCAAAGTTCCCAAGAGCGAGCGGCAACGTAAAAGTCCCGGAACACCAAGGCTTCCAAGAGCGACCGGTGACGTCACAAACTCTTACCACCAAGGCTTCCAAGAGCGAAGGGTGCCATGAGCCCTCTCGGGCAGGTTGCTGCAGCGCTCTTTCCGTTCCCGTGCCGGCCCCAGGTCTATTGGCCCCTCGGGGCCAGCGCCCTGGGGGGCGACCTGGGTCCCCCTCCCTTGAGGTGCCCAGTGTGGACTGAGCTGCGAAGGCAGCCCTGTCCTGCTCCTCGTTGCGCTGCTGGTGGTTGTAGGATTTCCTCTGGTTCTCGTAGATGCGCTGGCGGACGTAGGAGCTCGCCTGGTCCTCGTTGAGGCGCTGCTGGTTCTAGTTGCTGTACTGCTGGTTCCAGTCGCAGCGCTGCTGGCCCCAGCGGTACCCCTGCTGGTTGCTGGAGTAGTTATTGTCCCAGTCGAAGGGCTGCTTGGCGCCAGCGGTACCCATGCTGGTTGCTGGAGCGGTTATCGTCCCAGTCGAAGGGCTGCTGGTTGTTGTTGTAGCGCTTCTGGTCGGCGTAGGGGCGCCGCTGGTTCCAGTTGTCGCGCGGGTGGTGCCAGTAGGTGCGTTGCTGGCCCACGTCTGGCTCTTATGGTGGTGAGCAACTGTGTTGATGTTGTCGTCCCTGCTGGTCTCGATGCACTTCAGGATCGCGTGTGCGACCCTCTGGGTGATTGCTCGGCTAGCTCTTGCATCATGTGGCGGATGACGCGTTAACAGTGTTTCGAGTTTCTGCACGGACTCGGTTTACTCGTGGTTCATCGTGGTCTTCATGGCGTTGAAGTCGCGGTAGCCCGTGAAGTCTTGGTGGATGTCGCGGGCCCGCTTAGGCCTCCCCCCCGCCCCGTCGGAGGGGGCTGGGCGGAAGGGCCCCCCCTGCTAGAGGCAGCGGCTTGAGCCAAAATGGCTTGAGTCAAACTGGCTACGGGCTCCTCCTCGTCGTCGTCGTCCTCCTCCTCCTCCTCATCGTCATCATCATCCTCATCCTCATCATCATCTTCATCCTCATCCTCATCATCACCATCATCAGCATCATCATCAGCATCAGCATCAGCATCATCATCATCAGCAGCATCATCATCATCATCAGCATGATCATCATTATCATCAGTATCAGCATCAGCATCAGCATCAGCATCATCATGATCATCATCATCATCATCATCATCATCATCATTATCATCATCATCATAATCATCATCATCATCATCATCATCATCATCATCATCATCATCATCATCATCATCATCATCATCATCATCATCATCATCATCATCATCATCATCATCATCATCATCATCATCATCATCATCATCATCATCGCGGGAACAGGCATGTAATTACCCCCGCCCTCGCCCAACGCATGTCCGTGGGCCGCACTCTGCAGCAGGCTGGCCGCCGGCTTGAGGGGCTCCCGCGCCGAAGGCTCGGGCACCTCTCCCCCCCTCCAGACCCCCACCTCTCCGCCCGTCCTCGCCACCTTTTTGCCCGCAGGCCCAGCGGGCGTGCGGGCCAGTCGAGCAGCTCAGGGGCGCGGAGCAGCCAGTCGGCCCCAGCAGCTGCGGGGCGGGACCGCGCGGGGCGCAGCGAGCGGAGGGGCGACCTCAGGCCATGGAGGTCTTCGTCAGCGGGCGGCGCCCCGGGCGCGACTGAGTCGCAGGCGAGAGACGAGGGTGCCCCGGGAGGGGGCCCCCCCCCCCTTCGCCGCATTCTCCGCAGCCATTTGCTGCGAGGCACGCGGCGCGCTGGCCATATCCGCTTTCTACGCGCCCCCAGCACGAGGCCGATGGCTCCCAAGCGCGGCCGCGCCGCCGGTGCCGTGGCCGCGAGGAAGAAGCCGGCGACGGCGCACACCGTCGGCGCCCTCTGCGGCACCGTCTCCCGGGCGCTGGACGCCGAGACCGGGCTGCCGGAGTCCGTGGTGCTGCTGCTCCGGAGCGCCGTGCCGTCCAGCCTGGCCCTCCTGAGGGAGGAGCGGCACTCCGGGAGGAAGGGGGAGGTGCCCACGCCCACGCCGCAGGTCGTCCCGGAGAGCCCTCGTAGCCGCGGCTGGACTCTCCTCGAGATGCTGGTCGGAATGCACCCCGGGAGAGGTCTACCCTCTCCTCTTCCCCCT